TGGCAACGGGAAGCCACAGTCGCCACCACGGGTCTGCTTCTGTCTGACAGCTGTAAGATGTGGGTCCAGTTCCTGCCCCCAGTTCTGCCCATTCTCCAATGAGAGGTAAACATTAAACCATGTTTGAAATGCAGAATACAAAACCCATGAGAGATATCGCAAGGCCCTCCTTACTGGAAATGGGCATTTTTTTTCAGGTCTCTGGAAGATGGAAATCACTGTGGAAAGTTTTAAGTACCTTGCAGCTAATACAAGTTGAAGCCTCTAGAAAAAACAACAAAAAAAGTCCTTTTGCTTAGCATTTTCTATTATTGATGTCAAAGACTGCTTCCTCCCTGGAAATGATGTACAGATGGCTGCAAAAGGGAAGTGGTACTGGGGCTGCATCCAGCCTGCTGCCTTGACCCTGAGCTCCCTGCCTCTCCCTGCGGGCAGGTGACCAAAGGGGTTCCTTGGAACTATGATACTGGTCTTTTTGACTCTCTTGAGGAAGTTGTTGTTGTTCACATGCTCAGTTGTGTCCAACTCTTTGACACCCCATGGACTGCAACACACCAGGCTTCCCTGTCCTTTATCATCTCCCTGAGCATGTTCAAACTCATGTCCATTGAGTCGGTGATGCCATCCAACCATCTTGTTCTCTGTTGTTCCCTTTTCCTCTTGCCCTCAATCTTTCCCAGCATAAGCATCTTTTCCGAAGAGTTGGCTCTTCTCCTCAGGGGACCAAAGTGTTGGAGCTTCAGCTTCAGCATCAGTCCTTCCAATGAACAGTCAGGGTTGATTTCCTTTGGGATTGACTGGTTTGATCTCCTTGCTTTCCAAGCAACTCTCAAGAGTCTTCTCCAACACCACAATTTGAAAGCACCAATTCTTTGACACTCAGCCTTCTTTATGGTCCAACTTTCACATCCATACATGACTACTGAAAAAAAAATAGTTTTGACTATACAGACCTTTGTTGTCAAGTAATGTCTCTGTGTTTTAGGAAGGCTTTCTGGTCTCTTCTTCTCAGGGAAGGCATTTGGAGAGTGGGCTTTGGTATCATGACAAAGTAGGTTGGAAAGGATGTTGATTTTCATTTGGTTATCATTCCATAGTTACATCTGGAGAATAAGAAAGGTAAATTATACAAAAGGAATGAGCATGTGTTCAGCATGGTATGACACAGTAAGAGCTAAGGCAGATTGACTACAAGGAGGCAGCCATGTGTGTCTGTGTATCTTGCTTCTATTATGGAGCTTGTGTCAGTTTCAAAGATAAACACATGGTAAGTGAATCCGGGCTGAGCCATCAGGGGTGCATCGAAGCTTTCAGAGAAAAGCTGCGGTCCCAGATAACTGGTGGGATTCAGGAAGGTGAGACAGGAGCCGGGTCTGGGAAACCCAAAACATAGACATGTAAGAGGTATGATAACTAGGCATAAAGAAACTGCCTGCTGAAAGGTACTGAAGTAGATGGGTCACACTCACTTGGGATATCTGAAGTCTGCAGGAAATTTAGTGAGGGGGCAGAACCATGAAACATATTAAGACATGGGAAGTTGTAAAACAAAACATAAAGATTTATGAACTCTGTTGTTGTTCAGTCACCAAGTCATGCCTGACTCTTTGTGACCCCATGGACTGCAGCACACCAGGCTATCCCTGTCCTTTACTGTCTCCCAGAGTTTGCTCAAACTCATGTCCATTGAGTCGCTGATGCCATCCAACAATTTCATCCTCTGTCATCCCCTTGTCCTCCTGCCCTCTATCTTTCCTAGCATCAGGATCTTTTCTAGCATGTTGACTCTTTGCATCAAGTGGCCAAAGTACTGGAGCTTCAGCTTCAGCATGAGCCCTTCCAATGAGTATTCAGAGTTGATTTCCTTTAGGATTGACTGGTTGAATCTTGCTGTTGAAGAGATTCTCAAGAGTTATGAACTCTAATGACCTTCAAAATTCAAGATTATTGCAGAAACTAGTTAAAATTCAAGTCAAGGTGGCCCTTGAAGTGACAGATCCACACATGCTTTTGTAAAATATGTAGTCTATAAAACTGGCACCAGGATCCTCCTGGATCAAATGTGTAAGGAGCGATGGTGGATCAGATGACTACATCCTAAAACTTCTGCTTTATTGAATATTTGTTTGGATACTCTTTGTTGTAAAGTCTTTTCTACCCCCCCCCCAGCTTAGTTGAGGTGTAATTCACATATAACATTATGTGAGGTCAGGTGTACTCTTACTTAATGATCTGAGACTTGTATATATTTGTAAATTGATTATAACATACTTGTAAATTGATTACAACAAGATTATCTCATGAACTCCTAAATTGAGTCAAATTCCAGGGGCTTCCCTGTTGGCTCATATGGAAAAGTGTCTGCCTGCAATGCAGGAGACCTGGGTTTGATCCCTGGGTCAGGACTATCCCCTGGAGAAGGAAATGGCAACCCACTTCAGTATTCTTGCCTGGAGAATCCCATGGACGGAGGAGCCTGGCAGGCTACAATCCATGGGGTCGCAAAGAGTTGGACACAACTGAGTGACTTCACTTTTCTTTCCAAGGAGAAATTGCCTAAAAGTTTTCTATATATACAGTAGTTGTTGTTTAGTTGCTAAGTTGTGTCTGACTCTTGGCAACCCCATGAACTGTAGCCCACCAGGTTTCTCTGTTGATGGGATTTCCCAGGCAAGAATACTGGAGTGAATTGCCATTTCCTTCTCTGGGGATCTTCCCAACCCAGTGATCAAATTTGCATTTCCTGTATTGGCATGTGTGTTCTTTACTGCTGAGCTACCAAGGAAGCCAGTACAGAAATAAAATAAGTATTTTCTTTCAAACATTTACCAATTTGAATTTCTGTGCTCTGTGCATCTTTCAACATCTAAGGCATAAAGCATTTCATTTCAGAATCTCTACACTTGCTCCTTACCATGAATAGTTTAATGGAAACAACCTATTCAATACAGACTTGACATATACCTGGATTTACCTGCTGAATGATTTTTATATATTATACCATAATTCTCCAGGGCCTTGATCAGTAGTCTTCACCTACAAAGAAAAACTGATAGCTGAAGCTCAAGAGGAATAATAACTATAAACATAAATATCAGACAGAAGCTCTGCTGAAAAAAAAAAAAAGCTCTGCTGAATGTTAGACTCCATTACAATAAAAACAAATGCAAACTAAACAGTCTAGAATGTACACAAAGTAAAAGCAATAAGGATATCTCATGAGATTTAGTTATACTTTTTCTGTTTAAAAAAAATTGCTTGAACTTCTAAGCCATTGTGGTATTTTTAAGTCTCTTTAAAACAGAGGGGATAGGTTGTCAGATTTTTAACTTAAGATCCCTAGGCGACTCTTTCTGAAAGAGCAGCAACAAAAATCAAGCCTTAGTATAGCTTATAAAGTGCTTTCAAGTAGGATGAGCATGTAGATTCAAAGGGGACGGGCAATTTTATCATTGGTAAATATGTTATTGACATTTCTAACCAAAGTGGCTTTACTTTGTATGAAAAGCAAGAACAACATTTTACATTTGATAAGCGTGTCATCTATTACCTTATATATGACAACAGAAATTTATGAAAGTTAAAAAAATCTAAACTAAACAGTAGAAAACAGTACAGCCTGGTGACTGTAATTATTAATACCAAATTGTATTGATATATTTGCAAATTGCTAAAGGAATAGGTCTTAAAAGTTCTCATCACAGGAAAAAATGTGTTTATATATGATGATGGATGTTAACTAGACATTCAGGTGATCATTTCACAAAGTATACAACTATTGAATAATTATGTTGTATATCTGAAACTAATAAAATGTTACATGTCAATTTTATGGCAACGAAAATTTAAAGGAATAAAAGGAATAATGTTTCAAGAGATTAGTAGTGCTGAGAGAGATGTCTTTGATCTCACGTTTGATATTTTTGAGAAATGAGGAAGTGATATTTCACAGATACGAATGGAATTGCTATTTCTTGAGACAGGGAATTTTAGTAGTTGAGTGAGTTCAACTTAACAGAAAATGCATAGAACTTGGATCAAAAACTGGTTAGTTGCTATCTTGAAGTGTGACCTTGAGTAAGACAGTTTGTGAATATTTATTTCTTCATGCATGTAGTTGCAGAGTTACTATTTCATACGTCAAACAAAACAGACACATGGCCTATACAGAGCATGGTAGGTGGTGGGTGCTCAGTCACCTCTGCTTAGTAACTGCTAATCTTTCCTAGGGAGAAAAATTTTCCCAGTGAGTGTTACAGCCGTAGTTTTATTCAGCATCTAGACCACAGTGAAAAAAATATGCCGGTTATGCGGAGGGGAAAAAAACAATTTTAAATATACAAATTCCAAATGAAAAATAAGCTTTTAACAAAGTGTTTTAATTTCAAATCAAATCTTACACTTATGGAAGACATTTTAGTAAGACAAATTGAATTTCATCTTTGGCTTTTTTTTCTTTGTCTGTGTGTGTGTGTATATATTTATTTGAAGTATGACTTACAATGTTTCAGATGTACAGTGAGGTGATTCAGTTATATATATATACACATATACATATATATATACATATACATATATATACATATACATATATATATACACACATATTATTTTTGAGATTATTTTCCATTACAGGTTATTTTAAAATATTGACTATAGTCCCCTGTCCTATACAGTAAACCTTTGCTGCTTGTTGCATCTATTTTTTAACAGAAATCTAGCATTCTATCCATACTGAGTCAAACAAGTGGAATCGAAATGTAATATTTTTTTTAGTTAGACAAAAGTCATATGTTTTCTAGAAATATATTATACATACCATTTATATATCATCTTTGTAGTCTAAAAATTAAAGTTTTACAAAATTTTCAACCCTAGATCTCTTATGGGAAATTTGTTTCATACTGTTATCATCTGTGTCTAAACCAAAAATGCATTCTGTGAACAGTTACTGTATCAGTTTTTCTTTCCTCCTCTCTTATTTCATATTGTCTGTGCAGCTGAATGACAGCGACAAGTGCTCCACAGGAAGCAAAGTTAGAGCTGCAAAAAGTAACACAGTGATGAACGCAGGCGGCTCAGAGGAGGATTCATGTCTGGGAACCAGCAGGCAGCAACCTGGCCGCGGCAAACAGTCTAACTGATTGTGAGCTGGTTCTGTAATTGGCACAGTGAAATACGTCAGCAGAGTTTTTCCATTTTCATTAACCTTCCTTTTAACTTCCTGTCTATTTTTACTCTCTTTTAAAATCATTCTGTCAAAGGAAGGAGACAAAAACATAAGAAGGAAACAAAGCAACAAAGGTTTAAGGAACAAACAACTGTGAAATGGGAATTTGCAGTGAACTTTTCTATCGCTTTTAAAGTAAAGCAATATGTCCTTTCTTAATTATGTGATGTATGAGATTCCTGTGATGTGTCAGGGCCAGTTGTCCTTGTAGGAGGAGCTGCAGCTGGATTTTCTGCTTTTAGAGGAACATTCTGGATACCTTCTGCTACTTAAGATCTTCCCCCTTGTGGAGGTCCTAGCACAGACCCACTCAGATTCTTTCTCTGCGTCTCTCACTTCTCTTGTATCCTTTGTTGTGTCCTATCCCTCTGCCTGATCTTCAAAAGCAGACACTTCTTAAGGCTGCGGCCAGTTTTTCCTCCTCTTTTCCCTCTACCTCGTGTGTTTGTGAATTAACTTATTTCCAAGACTTCAACTATGGCCTTTTTGCACTGGACTCTCAGAACCAAGCATTGGTTTGTGATTTTTTTTTTTTTTCTGATTTCCATGTTGTTATACTGAGCTTACCACTAAATTCCTCCATTAGACTTACCATCACCTCCCTATTTGGGCTTTCCAGGTTGCACTACTGGTAAAGAACCCATCTGCCAATGCAGAAGATGCGAGAGATGCAGGTTAGATTTCTGGGTCAAAAAGCTCCCCCGGAGGAGGACATGGCAACCCTCTCCAGTATCCCTGCCTGTAAAGTCCCATGGACAGAGGAGCCTAGGGTCACAAAGAGCCGGACATGACTGAGCACACTACACACCTCCCCATTTAATCCACCCAAACTCTCTCTTCTCCTTCTTAAGTCCAGACCTCTGCATCCATTTCCAAGCGGTATTTAACAGGTCTCGGTCTTTTTATTCTGAATTTTCTTTGGTTTCCTACTGTCTTCTCAGTCAGGGAGAGAACTTTGAGTGGCTTCCAGCCTTCGCTTTGCTTTATGTTCACATCTAATTTCTCATCAAATACTGTCTCTCACACTGGGGGCATTCTATCTGCCTCTTCCCTAGGTCAATAGAGGCTACATTCTAAGGTTTTTCCTCATTCCTGAGGCAGTATCCTTCCGAGCTCTTCCCTGAAGGTCATACACTGCAGGTTCTTCCGGCTCTGGTGGGTTCCAGGAAGCCTCCCACTGCTGCATCATCGCAGCCCCGTCCAGGCTGCGGGCGACTGGGTCCGTGGACATGCTGATCTCAGCCCGAGACTGCCAGGCTCCTCAGGGTGTTCCTCTGAGCAGCTGTCTCCTCCCTGGTGTTTGCCCTGGGATGCAAGCAGCCTTGGCCTCCCCTGGTCTCACCTCTGCCCCCCTCTAATCAAGGGGGCTGCCAGACTCTTCCCTGCTCTTGTGGGGCTTGAACAGAGTCCGCAGTAGATTGATTTTGTCCTGCGGAAGTCAGTGCTCAGTATTAGCTGTCAGTCAGCATCCACAAACTCTTGATTATTTTTTTTCTTCTTCTTCTTCTTCTTTTCCTTTCCCATTTCTTTTCTCTTTTAATTTCTCTTTACTTCGCTCTGCTCTTTTCTTCTCTCTTTGGTCATTTCCAGTGGAAGGATAAATCTGGTCCCTGCTCCCCCTCTGGCAAAGCCATATATGGAAATTTCTGTTATGTTGATATTTGAGGGGAAAAAAAAAGAAGAAGAAGAAGTGGGGAAGTTTACAAAAAAAAAAAGTCCAGGTCCTTTCCTGAGAGATTCTGAGTTAATTGACCTGGAGTATGATGTGAAACAAAAGCAACATTTAAAATCTCCCATTTTACTGTACTCCCCATCTGTAGGTGAGGACCACTGATGAAACTAGATGAGGGTTACTTGCTCAGATAATGGACACTCCTGAATGCAAAGTGCATGGCAAGCAAGGCCTCCATGTCTACTATTTAGAAAGTAAACATAGTTGTCATCTTTGCAGCTTTTACTTTTATTGCAAAGGCTAGAATTAAAAACCTGCCTCTAATTCTGCACTTTTCAGAATTCCCCTTCATTTGGAGCAGATCCCTGATAACTTTGTCTCTGTAAACTTCACTGTAATTTATGAGTAAAGGTTAGATTTTCAAATAGTTAAAATTAACTATTATTATATGCTAACTTGTCCATCCTAAAGGAGATCAGTCCTGGGTGTTCACTGGAAGGACTGATGCTGAAGCTGAAACTCCAATACTTTGGCCACCTCATGTGAAGAGTTGGCTAATTGGAAAAGACCCTGATGCTGGGAGAGATTGGGGGCAGGAGGAGAAGGGTAGGAGGAGAAGGGGACGACAGAGGATGAGATGGCTGGATGGCATCACCGACTTGATGGGCATGAGTTTGAGTAAACTTCGGGAGCTGGTGATGGACAGGGAGGCCTGGCATGCTGTGATTCATGGGGTCACAAAGAGTCAGACATGACAGAGCCACTGAACTGAACTGAACTTGGATTACTGTGATGTTAAATGCCTTGCTTTGGAAAAGAACCAAGATTATTCTGTCATTTTTGAGGTTGCACCCAAGTACTGTATTTTGGACTCTTTTGTTGATTAAGAAGGATACTCTTTCTTCTAAGGGTTTCTTGCTCATAGTAGTAGATATAATGATCATCTGAATTAAATTTGCCCATTCCTATCCATTTTAGTTTGCTGTACTAGGATGTTGATGTTTATTCTTACCATCTCCTGCTTAACCACATCAATTTACCTTAATTCACAGACCTAACATTCCAGATTCCTAGACAATGCTGTTCTTTGCAGCATCAGATTTTATGTTCATCACCAGACACGTCAACAACTGAGTATCATATCTGCCTTGGCCCAGCCACTTCATTCATTCTGGGGCTATTGGTAATTCTCCTCCACTCTTTCCAGGAGCACATGGGACACCTTCAGGCCTTGGGACTCATCTTTTGGTGTCACGCCTTTTTGGCCTTTTATACAGTTCATGACGTTCTACGGCAGGTGTACTGCAGTCAGTTCAGTTGCTCAGTCGTGTCCGACTCTTTGCATACTGCGGTGGTTAGCCATTCCCTCCTCCAGTGGATCACGTTTTGTCAGAACTCTGCTGTGACCCATCCATCTTAAGTGGCCCTGCACAGTGTGGCTCATATCTTCATGGAATTATGCAAGCCCATTCATGACAACAAAGCAGTGATCCGTGAAGGGGCTGAAGAAGCTGAAGTTAATCCATTCTATGAAGACCTAGAAGACCTCCTAGAATTAACACCTAAAAAGATCTTCTATTCATCATCGGGGATTGGAATGCAAAAGTAGAAAGAATGCAAAAAAAGAAAGGATATACCTGGAGTAACAACAAGTTTGGCCCTGGAAAACAAAGTGAAGCAGGGTAAAGGCTAACTGAATTCTGCCAAGAGAATGCACTAATCATAGCCAATCCTCTTTTTCAACAACACAAGAGATGATTTTACTCATAGACATCAACAAACAGTCAATACTGAAATCAAGTCCATTACATTCTTTGTAGTCAAGGATGGAGAAGCTGTATATAGTTAGCAAAAACAAGACCTGGAGCTGACTGTGGCTCAGATCATCAGCTTCATATAGTTAATATCAGGCTTAAACTAAAGAAAACCAGGAAAAACACTAGGCTAGCCAGGTATGACTAAATCAAATCCCATGTGAATTCACAGTAGAGATAACAAATAGACTCCAGGGGCTAGATCTGTGAAGAACTATGGACAGAGATCCATAATATTGTACTGGAGGTGGAAAACAAAACCATCCCAAAGAAAAAGAAAAGCAAGAAGGCAAAGTGGTTATGAGGAGGCTTTATGAATAGTGGAGGACTGAAGAGAAGCAAAAAGCAAGGGAAAGAGGGACAGGTACATCCAGTTAAATTCAGCGTTTCAAAGAATAGGTAGAAGAGACAAGAAGGCCTTCTTCAATGAACAGTGTTTAATAACAGAAGAAAACAACAAAAGGGGAAAAACTAAAAATCTCTTCAGGGAAACTGGAAACATCAAGGGAGCTTTCCACCCAAGGTGGGCACAATAACGGATTAAAAACTGGAGAGACCTAGTAGATTCTGAAGAGATCAAGAAGAGATGGAAAGGATACACGGAAGAACTGTACAAAAGAGATTTTAATGAACCGGATTGCTAAGATGGTGTGGTTAGTCACACAGAGCCAGACATTCTTGAGTGTGAAATCAAGTGGTCATTAAGAAACACTGCTGTTGATAAAGCCAGTGGGTATAATGAAATTCCAGCAGAACTATTCAGATCCCTAAAGGAGGATGCCATCAAGGTTTTGCATTCATTATGTCGGCAAATGACACTGTGAAAAGCTCTTAGAGAGGTGGGAATACCATGCTACCTTACCTGCCTCCTGAGAAACCTGTATGCAGGTCAAGAAGCAACAGTTAGAACCCTGTATGGAGCAACTGATTAATTCAAGATCGAGAAAGGAGTACAACAGGACTGTCTGCTGTCACCCTGTTTGTTTAACCTATACTCTGAGCACATCATGAGAAATGCCAGGCTGGATGAGTTAGAAGCCAGAATCAAGACAGGCGGGAAAATCATTTAACAACCTTAGATATGCGGATGATACCACTCTAATGGCAGAAAGCAGAGAGAAACTAAAGAGGTTCTTGAAGAAGATGGAGGAGGAGAGTGAGAGAGCCGGCTTAAGACTAAATATTAAAAACACTAAGATCAGGCTTCCGGCCCCAGTACTACACAGCAAATAGAAGGGGAAAAGGTGGAAATAGCGACAGATTTCCTCTTCTTGGGCTCGGAAACCACTGCGGATAGTGACTGTAGCCATGAAATCTTAAGACAGTTGCTTTTTGGTAGGAAAGTTATGACAGACCCAGACACTGTTGAAAAGCAGATACATTACTCTGCCAGCAAAGGTCTGTATGATCAAGGCTATGCTCTTCCCACTGGTCATGTATTGTTTCAAGAGCTGGACCGTAAAGAAGGTACAGCACCAGAGAATTGATGCCTTTGAACTGTGATGCTGAAGAAGACTCCTGAAAATCCCTTGGACAGCAAGGACATCAAATCAGTTCATCTTAAGGGAGATCAAACCCTGAATATTCGCTGCAAGGACTGATGCTGAAACTGAAGCCCCATTATTTTCGTCATCAGATGCACACAGATGACTCATTGGAAAAGCCCTTGATGCTGTGAAAGATCGAGGGCAGAAGGAGAAGAGGGCATCAGAGGATGGGATGGCTGGACAGTATCACCAATTCAATGAACATGAACTTGGGCAAACTCCAGGAGATGGTGAGGGACAGGGAGGCCTGGCATGCAGGGAGGCTGCAGTCTATGGGGTCACAAAGAGTTGGACATGATTGGGCAACTGAATAGCAACAGCAGAATATGCTAGCTATTGACTGATAGGCACAACTGTTGTAGAGACACTTTGAGCGTCCATAACAATCCTATTAAACCTTGAGTTGAAAATGAGTGACGTGTGAAGCAGAGTTGGTGAAAGTCTTGAATTTAAAAGGTGTGCCATTTTTGATTACTAATTCAAGGATAAGTAGCTCAATCAAGTTTTCTTTGTTTAACTCTCACTATTAAACCTAAAAACCCTTTTTCAATAGTTTTAATAATTAGTGAGTACTTATCTGCATTTTCTAAGTAGTTCCTGAATGCAAGATTTATTTCATTACTTGCATATGATCTGTTATCCTTAATACAATTTTTTTTGTATTATGTATACAAAGAGAGAGAGAGACTAATGATACAGATAGAACCAATGTGTGCAAAAGAGCTCGTAGGTAGAAAGTGAGAGGTGGGCTAACAGTCTCATAGCCAAGATCTTGGATTCTGTTTATGGAAATAAGAAAGTGGAATTTTTACTTAAAAAAGTCTTGAACAGTTATCAAATGTCATTTTCTTTTAAAGTAAAAGTGAAAGTCGCTCATGTCTGACACTTTGAGATCCCGTGGACTATAGAGTCCATGGAATTCTTCAGACCAGAATACTGGAGTGGGTAGCCTTTCCTTTCTCCAGGGCATCTTCCCAACCCAGGGATTGGACCCAGGTCTCCCGCATTGTAGGTGGATTCTTTTCCAGCCGAGTCACAAGGGAAGCCCATGAATGCATAATTACAGTACTTGCAATAATTGTCTTTGATATTCAAATTGTATAGAGTTAGTAACAATAGTTAGTTATTAATAGGTACAGATATTATGGGCTTCCCGGGTGGCTCAGATGGTAAAGAATCTGCCCGCAGTGCTGGAGACACAAGTTCGATCTCTGGCTTGGGAAGATCCCTGGAAAAGGGAATGGCATCCACTCCAGTATTCTTGCCTGCAGAATTCCATGGACAGAGTAGCCTAGCAGGCTACAGATATTATATGATATCACTACAGATGTAGGATAAGTTTGGAAGTAGTACGTGTTTACAGGCAGGCACAACTCAGCTGCGAATTTATGTGATAAAAACCAACCCACCATTTTATATGATGAGAAAGGAATTAGTTCTGAGTTCTAATTAGGTACCCAAATGTTTACTGCATGGCTGGTACAGATTAACCAGTGTGTTAAATCCTGAAGGAGGAGCTGCAGGAGTCTCAACCGTTTCCCTCTCAGCACACCTGAGGAGCAGAACATATGTTCATTCCCCCATAATGGTTGGACTTAGTCAAAAAGATGCATTAAACAACTATTTAGTGAATGGCTGAAATGCATCAGCTACTTTGTTGTGTAAGAGGAAGCTTCTGGGGGAGTGTGCAGAAAGAGGATGAGCAGGAAAATATGAGTGAGCCAGGGGGTGACTTCAGCTGGAAAGTCACGGCTCTATCCCTCACTCACCTCAAGTCAGCTCCAGGGAGGGTTCCTGAGCCCAGACTCTGAGCTCTCAGTAAACACAACAAACCCCGTCCCTCTCTCCCTCCTCCTGCTTCTAAGTTCC